ATGCAAAGAGTAAATTTATTTTCATTACCTCACCAATTAGGGAGCCCCAAAGGGGCACCCAGCAGAGGCACACAAGCGTGGATGCAGGTACCATGATGCTCGGTCCGTGCTAGAGGATCTCTGAACCTCCTGGTTTCACCTATGTTTCAGGGCAGGCATAGTTTACCACAGTGCCTTGATATCTCCTACCGCAGGGCAGGAATCTCAAGCTGCCTCTATCACAGGCTTATGTTACCGAAACACAGATGTTCTACCTGTCTGACAGACAAGGCTAAACAACAATTAGTATGGTATATGTGTTCTGCACAGGTGCAGGTCACTTGAGTGTATTTATAATCCTCCTTGCCAATCTTTCTTTTTTCCCCACACCTCATTAATTTTATTGTTGCTTTAGATGTATCACTGAAACTGTGTGTTGGCAATGAAGAGTTGTGAGGGAGTGTGGAGAGATTTGTTTATATTGATCAGGCAAATCCTTCATCATTTTCCATTTCTTGCTTAGGTAACGCATGATCTTCCTTCTGAGTCTCTGGCACCTCTGGGGCCTTGGCAGACCAGAAGGACCAGAAGGACCTGGATGGGTGCTATCAAACCCATCCATTACCTGTCCTAAAATGATGGAAGGAATGGAAAAGTTTGCTGTTTGTTCTGGCACCAGGTCAGCACTTGTCAGTGTCCATCCATTTCATTACAGGTTTCCAAAGTCAGCACTAAGCATGGAGTAGCTGCCATTTCAAAAGTCAAGCTGCCGGATATTTTCCATCTTCAGCACCGCTGTACTGTGGTGTTTTCTTCAGCTCTAACAGTGGCAGCGCCAAACTGTCAGTGGCTGGATGTTACCTGAGGGCTGGAGCTGCTGGGGTGGCTCAGGCAGCCTTTCCTTAGGCACCACTCCCAGAAGCACAGTGTTCACCAGGGCATTGAGCCTGGTCAGCAGCCACGGCTGCTGGGAGAATGGATAGAGATGCCTGGCAGAACTTGGAAAAAAAGCAAAAGGAAGGAGATGGGAGTGAGCACGTGCATATGCACCTGACGTACAGGCACATCAGTGCTCCTTTTGCTTGTGCTGTGTGGTGAAGGCTGGCTTTTCAGACTGAGGATATGTCAGCAATTGAAGCAATGGGGTTTATTTGATTGCTCTGGATAATCTTTTTTAACTGTACCAAAAGCTGTGTCATACAGAAGTAGAAATCAGGAAGGTTTATCAGTATAACTGCATAAAGGGGCAGCTGCACTGGCCAACTCCTCCAAGTTCAAATGCAGCTTGTATTTGTGAGGATGTGTTTTTACCAGTGTAGTTTGGCTAAAAGAAGCTATATAAGCAGGGTCACACTCTGATACAGCTGTGACTGGGCTTTACTGATAGGGAAAGGTGGCTTAGGAAAGCCAACCTCCAGACTTCACTGATGGCTGCAGGGCCAGTTAGGCCCATGATTTCAGGGAAGAACTGCCAGCTTCTTCAACCTGGGGACACTGTCCCTACCTATTGTGTCATAGCACTTTTCCTGGCCAGCTTGTGTAGTTCTATGGCTTCTGGGGGGTGGAGGAACATGGTTGAGTTCAGAAGAGGGAAGGTTGCACAGAAGCCTGTGGTTTCACACCTGCCAGTGTGTTCTTTGGGCTTTCTATGTGAAAAGACATCTGGCAGGCTGTGGGTCTGCAGCGTGGTGCTGGCACCTTAGGGGTGGACTGCCTCTCTCCTGTCCTTTTCAGCAGTGGAGCAGGTTTGAGAGATCAGCCCTGCATGTGGTGGCTGCAGCAGTATTTTCCTTTGGGATCTGCAATGGTCTGAGGAGTGTCCTTTATCTGTGGGCTGGAAGTGCGCAGGCAACATTCACTGGAACATCTTTGGGGTCCGACGGTTCAAGGACTCGCCCCTTACAGTACCTCTGGTTGCACCTTGACAGGACAGTGACTGTCATGGCCTGTCCTGTCCATTATGTCCAGATAGAAAGGCTTCCTCACGCACTCCTATTCATGTTGACTTGAAGGAACAAGTGTCCTGGGTCCCTCTGGAATCAGACCTAGCAGGAGGTGGGCAACCACGACCCTGTGGTCTTCTGCAATCTCAGGGCTTATTCTGTTCAGTCACATTTCTTTAATAAAGTGACTAACCGAAAGAACAACTGTTGGGTTTCGGTCTCACAACCCAACATTAAAAATAACATTGCAAGGTTGACCTGGCCTGCATACCCTAGGTCTGACTTTACCATGACAGAGGTAATTAAGTGGCAAAGAAAAACTAAGCATATGGTGACGTTTAAGGGAGAAACAACTTGCTCAGAACATGAACCACACAGAAAATATTGGTCTTGTCTCAGTTACAAGATCCTCTCTCCTCCCTGTTCATGGGAGTTTTTGCTAATGACTTCAGTGAGAAATACCAGATCCTCATTTAATGGGGATTTCTGAATTTGTGAAATAGATACTGGAAGTGTTCCTGCAATCCGTGAGGGTTCTCACAACCGTACTTTGTATGGTAGAGGAGGAAGAAGGAAGCTTTCTACCATACATACAGGATTGTTTCTCAACAAAGGAGTCTCCCCACCCATATTGCCAGCATGAGAGTCTTTTCAGAGGATGTCAGCTTGGGGCTCCACCACGTGTGCTTCTGCTCCCTGCTGATGGGAAAGGGAGGTACCCAAGTGTGTTTAATACACCCTGTAGTACTTGCTGCTCTTGGTCTATTAACTTTCATTAACTCAGCACTTCCAGTCCCTAGGCACCAGCAGGAGCCCAACTGTGCCACATTTGCTCTGAAAGCAGAAGAAAAAGACAATCCTTCTCTGAGGAGGTTGTGGTTGAGGGATGTCTCTTTTAGACATACAGTGGGGAGCTAGAGATTTTGTAATAGAATCGTAGAGTCGTAGAATCATAGAACCATAGAATGGTTTGGGTTGGAAAGGACCTTTAAGATCATCCAGTTCCAACCCCTGCCACAGGCAGGGACACCTTCCACTAGACCAGGTTGCTCCAAGCCCCATCCAGCCTGGCCTTGAACACTGCCAGGGATGGGGCAGCCACAGCTTCTCTGGGCAACCTGTGCCAGTGCCTCACCACCCTCATAGTAAAGAACTTCTTCCTAAGATCTAACACAAATCTCCACTGTTTAAGGTTGAACCCAGGAGTATGTGGAGGAGTAACTGTCACCTGCACACTGTCTTCCAGTTTGACACCTGCAATCAAAGCTCTCACAATGCTGTTAGGATGACTGGAGGGTGAAATGCCTGCTAGTACTCTGGATTTGAGGATGCTTGGCCAAGCCCTGGCTGCTACATTAGGGTGCTCCAAGGAGAGCCTGGTCTGGAGCCAGTTCTGTGCAAGAAATTACTGAGTAGGATGAAATTCTTGAATGCAGAAAAGAAATAACTGGGAGAATACATGATAGATGTTTACAAACGCAAGAGTGGCACAGAGAGTGTGGGTGGGGAGCAGCTATTCACCAGGTACTGACTTTGTCAGAGCTAGTTGAGAAGGAAATAGAGAGTAGGAAAAAAAGCACTTGAGATTCTCAACTGAAAAGAGGTTAAAACCTTGATTCTCAGGCAAAACTCTCTTGAAATCCACTCAGATGGAGCCTGAAAAGCGGGGGGGTGGGGGGTGGGGGGGTGTGTGTTCTTTCCCACCTGTGGAATTTTATGACTAAGCCCATTCTGGACCTGCTCCATATTTATTGAATGGCACTGCTTTTTGGCAGCTGCCCTGTGAGAGGTGTTAGTTCTTAGCAGCGACTGCCAGAGACTAGAATGAGGTGTCAGGAGACCACTCTGTAGCTTCCCTGGTACCTATGCTCTATCTTCAAGCACCTGCTGATGGCTGCAGTAGACAGTAAAATACTGGCATGGACGGATGTCTGGTCTGAACCCTGTGGGACTCTCCTGTAGACACTGCAGGAAAGCAAAAAGGAAACTTCCCAGGCAAATGCTAGAGTGGCCTGGCCTGGACGTTCCACATGTCCAGCCCACGGGAACACATTAATTGGGCAGAGGGAAGGGAATTCACCAACCAGACATGTATTATCAGTGTTTTCTGAGGGTGGACTACTTTACTTCTGGGAAATACTGTGAGAATTAGGAGAATAAATCAATTTTCATCTCACGGATTCAGCCCGTTTCTTATTAATGAGGTCAATAACTGACAAAAACCCCACCAAAACCCAGCCTGTCTCTTCCAGTAAGTGCAGATGGCACAGGAGGTGCCATCCCCCTTCTCACACTGGTGGGAAGCTGAAGCCCTGACTGGTGCTGTTGGGTTGTTTTCTCTCTGTGCTGGCAGATAAAGAGCGGCAGGAGTCAGCTCCACCTGCAGCCACGGCTGTCTGCCAGCTCATCTCCTCCGGGATGCCTGTGAGGGACCTATTCAAAGGTGCTCCCATGGAGGAGGATGCTCCCAGGAGGGTGTGTGAGTGCAGAAAACCTCAGCAGAAGGAACTCAGGCCAGGAGACACACCAAACTGAGGCTGTGAGGAGTCCCTGTGTGCCTGGCACTGCTTTGACCAGCAGGTCTTCTCTCAGGCTGTGCCCAGCCCCATCTTCTGTGTGGATGCACTAGGGTGGGTGTAGAAGCAGCTTGAGAGGAGGTGGTTTGGACCACAGGACCTCTGGAGAGGCGCAACAACGAAAGTGCAAAAGCATTTAATGCTGGACTGATGCTGACCCTGTGGGGCTCTGGGAGTTTCACCACTGATGTCAGGATTAAGCCTGACTGCCCACCTGTGGACCTCTTGCCCATGGGGTCTGCACAAGAAGGAAAACCACAGTGCGCTGGTATTTGCAGGGACGTAACAGACAGAAGTATAGATGGCCTTGGGTGGATATATGCATTGATACACAGTGGCCAGTGTACAGGGATTCAAAAAAAGCAGTGTTTCTTCCTACCCTTTTTTGCCTGTCTAGGGAAAGTCTGAGAAATTTCCTGTTTTGTAGAAAAGGGATGCTTGTGACTCAGGGAGAGTCTTTCCAGAAAGCAGAAGGTAAGGGGAATTAAATAAACTGGACACATCAAAATCAAGGCATTTAATAAAATAAAACATCTTGTCTTCTTCCCCAAATCTGTGTTAAAAATATGTAAATATACATCAATATTCAGAAAGGATATAAAGCTCCTTGTTCTGTGGGTACATAGTGGTTTCTTCAAAGCAATGCAGCCAACTAGACAAATGTATTGGGGGGATTGGACTGAATAGGCCAGGCAACCTTTTTTTCCTTTTCTTCTCTGTTAAAAGCATCATAGATGGAGTCTTTCATGACAGTTTTGGCTGGAGCTGGGATATCTGCGATCCCAACATGATTCTTTTTGGCTATTCTGGAACTGGTGGTGATGGTGTATGCATTGCTTCTGTAACATTTCATGGCAGACATGCAGAAAGTTTCTTTCATCCCTCTTCTGAAGTTTGCATTATACACGGAGTAGATGGTTGGCTTAGCAGCTGAAGAACTGAAGGAGATCCAGGTGATGAACAGGAAAACCAGGGAGCTTTTTCTGTAGTTGATTTCCTGTGGGTGCCACAGCTGTACCATGTAGAAAGGGAGCCAGGAGAGGAGAAAGACTGAGTTTAACATTAAGAACATTTTGATGGTTTTCACTTTTGCTCTCGGAACAGTATTCGTTGTCCTCCTGACAGTCCTGCCATCAGTGCCTATTCTCCAAATGTACTTGATGACCCTCTGGTAGAAGAAGACAATGAGGGTAGACGGCATCAAAAACACCACCAAGAGGCGGATGACACCATAGGTAACTCCTTCCCAAGATCTGGGGAGAAAAAAGTTGCAGTGGTCGTCACTGTTGGAGCTGTAGAAAAGGAAAGCCGGTGATGCAAATGCAGCCTCAAAGAGCCAAGAGGCCAGAATCATTTTCTTGGCTTTCTCCCTGGACACTTTGAAGCTCAGGGGGTAAATGATAGTGTAGAATCTGTCCACACATATAGAGAGGAGCACATATATCTGGACTCCAGGGGTGATGTGCTGGATGTACCTTACCAGCTTGCACATTGAGTTCCCCAGTGTCCACCTGCCATAGGTGAACTGAAGCAGCACAAAGGGCACGCTTGTGACACTAGTCAGCAGGTCTGCACAAGCCATGGAGACAACAAAATAGTTGGTGGTGGATTGCGTCCTCCTGCTCCGATGGATCACTAAGCAAACGAGGGAGTTTCCAACGAGGGACACCAGCCACAGCGCTCCCAAAACCATGCTGGCTGCTGTAATTTCCCCCTGCTGCAGGTCATACAGCGAGGCAGTGCGGTTCCTGCTTGAGCTGGGTCCTGTGGGTGATGCTGTCATCTCATAGCCAGCAGAGGGGATGGGGCTGTTCGAGTAGCTCTCGCTCTGCAGCAGAAGCAGGAAGGTAGGGAGAACAACAGTACCGCCGTTGTTATCCATGCTGTGAGCAATCATGGCCACGTCTTTTGCTCAGGCTGCATAAAAGGAGAAGAAGCAAGGTTCTATTTAACAGGTCTGTGGGAAAAACCTACCTTAAGCAATGAAAGATAATTTTAAGTAACCTACATACTGCTTAACATATGGATATCAGAGAAACAGTCAGAAGTATACGGTTAGTCTCTCTGTTACAGCAGAGGCCATTCAGTTTTGTGTTGAGTTTTATTAAGAACCTGACTGTTTTAGGACATCCACCTCTGTCCTCTGAAAGATAAATGTTCCTTTCACAGCTAGAGACTGAGGTGCCTTTTCACCCATGCTGGTGACCTGCAAACTGAGTGAGAGGAATACGCTGACTACACCACCACCACCCTAAGGCAAACACGATCACTACTGTATCTTCTTTTTAGATGGTGTTTTTCAGCTGCCAGGGTGCTCTAATGACTTCTGTGTTTCCAAGCTGTCACTGAATCCTTGGATTCAGTGGATCAATCCTTGGATCAAACTCTAGCCTGTCCTTTGTGGCAGATATGGGACACACCATGGTATGACATATATATGACTTCCTGTTTTAAGAAGTGAGACAGGAATGAATATATTACTAGACAGAGTCTGCAATCTTGAATTCAGTCTGTTGTCTTGGTCCTAGGCTATTACAGGGTTAAAATGTAAAAGTGCTAAATATTAGTGGCTGTGTGTATGCAAACACCTTGCCTGGGCCTAATGATCCCGAAGTATCCTTTCAAATCATGGTGTTTAGATGCAAATTCTTATTCATTAGAAACAGAAAATCTGTGTTTCTGTGGATATGTTGTGTGAATGCGTAAGTCCAGAGTCTTGATACCACAAAAGATAAATCTGTCTTCAGTTAATGATCAGAAGTTCAAGTGTTCATCCCAGAAACCAAATGGACAAGTTCAAAAAGCCACCAGCATCCTCCTCAGCTTTCCAAGCAATCCAAATTCCCAACCTTCCTTTCTGAGTATTTTTGTCCCCAGTGTTATCCTTATGCTTTTTGCTGTGCCTGCTCCAGCTCTGCATCTATCACCAATTACTTTCTCCTTGTCTCCCTACTCAGACTGGAGCTCCATGGTGCAAAGCCACTGGATGAACATGGAATCTTTGTGCTGTTTCATGTGTCATCTTCAATAATGCAATGCATAGTCAGATGTGGAAGAGAAAAAGATCTATTAATTGCTTCATGTGGCTAAAGGTTTTGTTTCCTCTAGCTGTATTCATTAGCTGCACTTATTAGAACATACAATATGCATGTTTCATACGAACAGGCTTGATGTACAATCAGCTGCACAGCACAGGCATGAATTTAGCATACTTGAAAATGCAGAGTGTGCTTGCAGTGTGGCACAGCTGCATGGGCACTGCCAGTCTGTGTAGCTGCAGCCACAGAGCTGCTGGACCCCCCTGTACCTCTCTATGCCCTGCACCATGCCCAGCTGCCTACTGTGCATCAGCAGAAAATGGGCCAATATATGTCATCAATGCTGCTTCCAATGCAGCTAGCTTTATTTTGGAGCTTTTGTGTGCAGGTAGTGTCTGGGAGCTGACAGCATGACTCAGGTTAAGTTGGACTCGTAGCTGAAGCAGTCTGGGGCTAGTCAACAGCTGGGTTTGTTTCAGGGGTGTGTTAAACAAGGAGTTTCACATGCTAGCCTCCTGTCAAAATAGCACTCAGGACACCAGCAGTGAGACCCAATGTGTTGCTGGTGTCTGAGTTACCAACTGTGCAAGGGGCACCATCTGCAGATGATACATTGCCCCTCATCCCGTCTTCTGCTGGAGGGCTGTGGGTGCTGCCCAGCCTGGCCTTCACTTTCCCTCATCCCTTCTCTCATTGTTTTCTTATTAGCTTTTCCTGGCAGATGATTCCTGGTTTCTCAAACAGCTCCTGCTTGCCTTTCCTTACCCTCCATCGGCTCGATCTGGCCCCCTGGAGATATCCTGCCATCACCAGCTGTCAGCACAGTATTTGAACTGCTGTCTCTGGCAGAATGGCAGGATGTACTGACAGTACAACCCACTAAATTACATGTTAGAATTATCTGTAATAGAATGATACACATGGAGCCTATTAACCAGATAGAAAAGAACATTATGGGCTATTTTGCTTCCTTAATTTCGCTTCTTGCTATGCAGAAGCATGTGTTATTTAAAAATAACCAGCTGCACACATTATGCTTCATAGAAGAATAACCAGATGACATTTTCTTGACCAATACGGAAGAACAGTGGAAGTCAGGCACGAGAATGAAATGACCTTCCTAAGCTGTTAAAATATGCAGACTCTCTAGCGCTGTTCTCATGATAATTCTCCTGGCAAGCCAAATTTGCTGTCTGTGTCAGTTCAGACCCGAGACATTTAGTTATGCAGGTTGTAACACTCAGATAGTATTTCTGTTTCATTTTGACTAAAAGTCAGCCCAGACACTCTTTAATGGAGAACTCAGGTTATCTGCCAGCACGCCTATAAGAAGCTGGGAATTCAGCAACCCCACCATGGAACAGTATGTGTCATCCTCAGAGGTGTGTGAGGTGAGCTAACTAGTGGGTGCCTACAGAGAAAGGACAATGGCAAGAGCTGTATCCAGCTGTCTTGTGTTTGAGCTTTGCTAACAGAAGAAGCAGCACCTCAATGGGAGAAACCTTCCTTTTTCCATCCTTCACCAGATACCATGTGTTTGCATTGAGAGAGAGAGTATTTGGTTATGTGTCCGTGGTGGTGCTGGTTCCTCCACTGTGAGTGTAACAGGAGAGGCACCAAACACAGGTGAAAGTGATACTTTATTTTGTGATTCTTTCTTCCTTGGGAAAATCTAAAGTCATTTAGCACACTGCCCACAAGGTCCAGGTGAATGTATAAGGGCAATATAGCGACTTTAACTATCCTGACCATTCAATTGCTCTGGTTGAATGTCAATTACTTGTTTTATTTTCTGAAAAATAAATACTATCTGATTAAGGAGCACTGAGATTCCTGCATTCCTAGTCATAAATATTTTTTCTGTCAGAGGGACCAGAAGCTGATTTTCTTTTATATTAAAGGATCTGTATTCAACCCTATTTTTCGTAGGTGGTAACAAGATCAGAATCATGCCTTGATTTAGCAGTAAGAACCTTTGTGTCTATTGCCCAGCATCTCTTCTTCGGTGGGCAAGTTTGTTTTTTATAATGGAGACATAAACTTCTACATAATAAGTAATGCTCCTGTTGGCAGCATGAGCAAGAAAATCTCAGTGTATGCATTGTTCTTCTTGGGTCTGGGATGCAAATAACCACAGATTCTCTATCTTGCTACATTAGGTATCCCACATTCCTGACTGCTGCATCATTACTGAAATATGGTTTAAGTGTTAGTGAACTGCTCAGCTAGCAAATACCAGATCCATAAGAAAATAGGAATGAGCTCTTTAGTCTCCCTCTGCTTGCAGGTCAAAAAGGAAGTATTAGAAATACAAAAGTAAAAATTACTTGAGACCTAATTACATTTTTGCTTAAGAAAAATGCTTTTGTTTGATTTTACCTTTAAACCTGTGTAATACTGTGCTGAGTGAAAGGCTACTTTCTAGTTACTGAGTCTGCATTAATGCAGCAGTGCCAAAAATCTCACTTTTTTTTTGAACATTATAGAGTGGGAATCCTTTTAAAACTGGTATAAGGACTTCCTGTATTTCTGTTTAAAACCCCAAAGTTTTTTGCATTTGCTTGAAAAAATAAGGGGCATGTGAAATGACTCATAATTATCAGAGGGATTTCCTGGTGCCACAGTTCCTATGTCATGGACCTTAATTTGCAGTTTGAAGGCACGAACATTCCATTTTCAGGATTATCCCTTGGGTTGATAGCAAGTTAAATATATTCTTGCTAACTCTCCAAAACAGATCTGTTTCTTAGAGATTAAGTCTTTGAGCCACCAGAACTTCATAAAATCACTGCCATGTCTACTTTGCTGTTGCATAAAGCCCATATGGCATAGTTGCTGTGTGTTTGCATGTTTAGTGTCCTCTCAACAAAATAAGTGTTCACTGCCATTTGGAAGAGTAAAACTTAATAAGATTTGCAAAGGAATGCATTAAATGGCTTTTAAAATGTTTAATCAAAATAATATACCTTTTGTTTCCCAGCCATAGCTTTTCAGGATTAAAAAGGTAGCTAAAAAATAGATTGCTATACATTATTTAACCTTGCACTAACAGAAGGGGCTTTTTTAGTCAACATATTTTACCTTTCTGCATCATACCTTCAAAATACCAGGCAAGCTTTGGTCCAGCAAATTATTTGAAAAGCATTAAGCTGGTCATTTACTCCATAAAATTCCCTTTCTGAAGAATATCTTAGCAATAGCTGCCAGACTGGAAGAGAAATGCTTCATCTAACTGAGTTTAATCAACATTAGAAATGGGAGCAAATTGAATCAGAATGGGGGGACTTTTGTCTGGGTGTAAGGTGCTAGAAGGTAACATTCATCCTTGACTAAATTCAAGTTAACTACCCTGTGTGTGCATTGTCTCAATGTAATAATCCTTTTATAGAAGAACACAGACTCTTTTAACCCCTGTTTCTTGCTATGTAGAGATAACTGTGCGCATATTGAGGCCATCCAGCACTTCTGCTTGCAGTGGAGGAATGTGGATACACATGCTTCTGTAAGCACGCAGATTCCCTGCCAGTTCTTCTCTCTGGTCTAGTGCTCATAAAAATGCTCAGCTATTTTGCCCTTACGAAGGCTTTTCTATTCTTCGAGCAGCTCTGCAGAGCAAAGCCTGAAAATCTCTTGAAGTGAAGTGTGTTCTTCCTCGCTCTCTGCATTCCAGTATATGGGGATAGAAAACATCTGCCTCTATTTTATCAGGATAATAACATGGGTTGGACACAAGGAAATTTTTGTGATCCATAGGCATTTCTCAAATGCCTCTGCCTGCTCCCTGCTCTACTCCACTGGTGGAGATTCCTGTTCTGCAGCATAGGTAGCTAAAGATGACATGACTAGAAGTGTGGATGGGCTATTTCATGGATGAAGCTTTCAGTACCAGTGTGGTCGCAGTTCAACTTACAGATTCTGTACTGCTGATGTAAGTCAATACACATTATTGCATCTTTTATCAGCATCTGAGAGCCTAGCCTGTATTGCAGGGTGCGGTCATGGGAGCAGGAAATACAGATGGAATCAAATAAAGGAAGGAAATGTACTTAATTTCCAGCACATCTAAAGATGTGAAGATGCTGTTAGCTACTGCATGAGCATGAATCTAAACAAGATTTTTCTACTGTATGCTTGAGGAAAGTAAGGGCAAGTAGACAGTCTCTTTGCCTTCAACCTTCATCAACTCTTTGTGTTCTTTCCTGACCATTTTAACAAGGTATTAAAGCTGAGAACAAGGATATAATATACTACAACACTTGCTGGGATTTGAGCAAATTTATATTTCTTGTACTGGTTGCCTAAGGAATAATGCTTTTTCAGCTTTATCGTTTTAACTGAGCTTAATAAGTGGTGAACCATGCAGTAGCTAAATAGTCCAAGAACAGGGTCCATCTAAAGCTTCTGGGTCTGTAAGCTGAAATCTGGAGTTAACTACTCTGCATACCTGTAGCACTAAGGCCTGGCCTGGGGCAAATTCATGGGCCATGATTCTGATGAACATTCAGGGTTCAAAACCGTATGTAGGTCATAAGTTACTGTATATTGGCTGAGTCTACTTAAGAGACAGTGCCATCTTTTGAAGCTCATTGTGGTATTAAAGGTTGTAAGAACACTAGCTTTTTCCTGCATCTGAAGTCAATGACTTTTTCTCATGTATTTACTGTGGGTTAAGACTGACACACAGGCAGCCACCATAGGTCTATTAACTTGAGGTGAGTTTCTAAGACCCAGTAATTTATTCATGCACCTAACCCTAAGAGCATGTTTATTCTTTGTTGGTGGTGGGAAGGAGACCTTATGGTAACTGCAGATTCCACTTATACCAAACATCATTCTTTGGTTCAGCGACAGACAGTGGTAAAATATGAGCCATATTTGTGCTCAACACTGCCTAGATAGACACCCTTACCTCATCTGTATCTGCAGAGTGAGGGACAGAGGTGTAACTCTCTTCAGCCAGGGCTATGCTGAAGCACAGGTGGAGGTTGCAACCTCCAGATCTGTAGAAAGGATGACATAGGCAGGATCACATGCAGTGGGAAGTTAATCATCCAGTAGCTGTAGGGTGGGGTCATGTGCAAGGCCCAGGGAGGACACAGTCTTCCTTCCACAGACCTGGGCTGTGCCAAATAAATTGTTGGGTCTGTAATGGCCTTTGGACTGCCTGTTTCTTCAATCTGCTCCCTCTACTCTTGCCCACAGCATGGTCTGGCTAATGATAAGAGAGACACATAGCACAGTGCTTTGTCTACTGCCTCACGAGCATGAGTACAACACACTGTTTACAAACAGGTGCACAGTGGATATGGGCTTCTTGTAGAAGCTTTTCTTCCCCAAAGGAAAGACCCACAGAGTTTTAAGTGTGTCAGACTTTTATCATGTCTCAGGCTTTATTCTATCATCCTAGTAGTTGCTATTAGTATTACTACTAGCAACTAGTAGTAAAACTCTAGATTAGGACTGTTCTAAAAATGATAGCAAAACCCAGATCTCTGCCCAATGCGTCTATGGGGGCAGTTACTATTAGTATTATTACTAGCGACTAGTAGTAAAACTCTAGGTTAGGGCTGTTCTAAAAATGATAGCAAAACCCAGATCTCTGCCCAGTGTGTCTATGGGGGCATGAAAAAGTGGGAACAAGGAGAAGAGGGACTGACCTAATTTCCAACTCTGCTGTCAAGCTAGGTTCTCACCCACTGGTGCTGTCCAAGGAGAGTGTGGAGAAGCTTGAAATACACCTTTGCAGGTTGCTTGCCTTCTTAATAGGGATTGAGTCTGTCCTTGGACACAGCTGGGTTGGACCCTTTCCTGATTCAGAGGTAAAAAAATAGATGCTCTCTCCCACACACTTATATTATTTTTTGGCAACGCCAGGTCCTGCCCACAACACAGCATGCTCTCCTGCTTGATGTGAGGAACACAGTGCTTACCAGGGCTGGTTTTCCACGGTGGGTGTTGACAGATAAGCTGTGGTGAATCTCACACTTGGCTGATTTCTCTGCCCATCTCTTGGCAATTCTCACCCCCTCCCTGCTGAGTGTCCTCTCCCCCACAGGAAGAACATGCCAGCAGCATCAGTGAGGACTCTGGCAGCTTAGCTCACCCTCTCACTAGCAATAAACACAAGTTGTCATCCTAGGAGAACATTAAGTGTGGGATTTTTTTGTTCTTTCTGTATGAAGATGTCATGTTACAGTTAATTCTTGATATTAAATCTTGTGAAAACTGTTTTTTTCAGCACACAAGAAGTTAATGTGGTAACAGAATTTTCACATTGGTGCAAACAACTGTGCTGGGATCTAGGAGTCCCTGTCATATGGTTAATGACCTTTCTCAGTAACTTGGATGTAGTGCTCACAAGACAGAGGTCACCTATGCAAGACATAGTGGTAGAAAGTGGGGTAGCACTGGTGACTAATAATCATACTATGGATAGAGTTGCCAGAGATCTTAAGATGCTTCCGGGAAGACTTATCTGACAGGAATAAGAGGAGGAGACCTGAATGAGCAGTAAAAGGGTGTTCCTATGTCAGAGGATATGGCCATTAGTGAGAGCATTCCATAGCTTTTCTATATTAACTTTCCTGGAGAAGCCACAAGGGCAAAAGCCATAGTTAGGCTGGAAATGTCTGATGCAGAGATGTTTGTTGGAATGGATGTTTCAGCTGAGTTAGGCTCAGGGTAGACAAAAAAAGGTAGGAAAAACCACTGAGGCAAGGTGCTGGCCTGCTGGTAACTGCTGAACTGGAGATGTTTTCTTACAAAGGGTGCCAGTGGCAAGAACTATTTTGTCTGCCTGTCAGATACGAAGTTTAGGGAATGATGGAAGCTGCTGGAATGGAGAAATCCCAAACACATAAGTGCTGTTTCATGTTTTGGTGGTGGTGAACTGTGTTTGTAGTGGGGAAGGGGAGCAGACTGAGGATGTTAGGGGCTATTCTGCATCTGGTTGAAATTGCTCCATAGATTGGTAAGCACCTGAGGAGGGATGACTGGCGGGGCTGCAAAGGAAGATGCAGATGGAGATCATATGGTGTGACCCAGATGGGGGAACTGCATTGCACAGGTTTGCAAATAGAGGCTTCACAGGAGAACTGTGGGGGAGTAAGAGTCTGAAAGCTCTTACTTCAAGCTAAGGAGCAGAGCTCCCTGAATGTGCCTGAGGTATAGAAATTCCTCCCCTTACTGACTCATCCAAGACCAAAATGTTTAAAATAAACCCACGAATCAAGCTTCTAAAAATCCGAAGACACCCAAATAAAGATCAGCTTTTAAGGATGCCTCTGGGTTGGCACCCAATTTTCCTGCAAATCAAGCCACTTGTTTAAGCCATTAACAGGGTCTCTAACAACAAATCTTCAAGAACCACATTTAAAAACCTTTGCCAGAAAGAACCGGCTGTGAATCCTGCCTCATACACACAAATCACTTTTTGAGAGCAGTTTTACTTCTCCATTACTCCATGGAGCCAACATACTGTTTGACATGCCGGAAGCCAGCTGGGTGAATGAAAAATATTGCAATGCATTCTTAGAGAGTATGTGCCTGAATTAGCAAAACCAGAATCGCCTTCTTGTCTCTGCGAGCTACATATAAGCAAAGATTACTATGCCTGTGGTGTTGCCCTAAGTAGCTGCATCCAGGCATCCCCACAGAAAAAAAAGGGAGACAAGGCTTTCAGAAAGGGTGACTTCAAATTAATGACTGAAAAATACAAAAGCAGATGTTTTAGTGCAGTAACACCAGGAAGGAAGAAGCTGTTTGAATGTATCTAGAGACAGGGAAAAAACAGATGGGCAGATTGGTCTGCTTCATCTCAGTTAAAATAATTTTCTGCTTTCAGCGAACTAATCATGTCAGGGGACTCATTTAAGACAAATAAGTAGCATAATTTAAAAATAATGAATATAGATGCACACAATGTAGATTTGTACAGAAATTATGGACATTTATTCTGCAGTAATTCTACACACTTCCCTGCTTTCAGCAGAATCAGTTTAAAATTAAAGCCCTGCAGGGCATTTGCTCGTGAGGAATGAGTCCTCTTTGCTAAACCCCAAGGATTTTATATGCAAGTAAGTAAATATAAGAAGATAAATTACTGGGAAAGATCACCTCGGTAAAGAAAGCTATCCTTTTAGCTACAGCAGTCTTCATCACAGTACCTATCCATCCACATACCTGCTCCAAAGCATAATCCCAGAGGCGCCGGTCTCGTCCTTTCTCTGCTTGTTGTCCCAAGTGGAGGCACCTCTGGGCAGGTGCCAATCATACTGGAAACCGCACAGTATATTCACATCTGTGCCTTCCTCTTCCTGAATAGCTGCGAATCTGGCTGAGGGGGAGGGATGGGGTATTCTACCCCTCTTCTTTGACGGAGGAAAAGATGACGTTTTTCGGGGCTGGCTGCTGCCACCAGTTTCTTTCTGTGTCATGTGGGATGCGGATCATGTGGCAGTCCCTCCTCAGCACTCAGACGCCCCAGGACCTCCCCAGAAGCCCGCCGCCTCCTCTCTCTTCTCCCCTCTCCCTGCGGGGTGCCCACCCTCCGCCCCGTCGGTGCCCGGCGGCGCTGGGCCGGTCAGCACCACGGACAGCGGCGAGCCGCCCGGACCCCGACGGGGCGGGCACCGGGACGTGTCGTGTGCCGTCCCCACCACCCCGTAGCGGCGGGGCTCTCTGTAGCCCCCCGATCCCTTCACGGTCCCCGTTCTCCCCGCCGCAAGGCCCCAGGGGGCAGGGGAGGGCAGCCCCGGGGGCAGGGCTGTCCCTCGGCCCGCCGCCGGGTTTGGCTGCCGGCGCTGACGTGACGGTTGCTATGGCGAGGTGCGGCTGCTGAAGAGGATGCTTGTCTTCCACGATGGTCGTCATGGGACCCTGCCCATTGAAAGAAACAGAGCGAATGAATAAGGAGGAGGAGGTGAAGAGAATATTTAATTAGATGCCTCTGGGAATTTATGGTGGTTTTTGTTTGTTTGTTTGGTTTTTTTTTTGTTGTTTTTTTCTTAAATTACCACATAGACACGGAAACTCGTTATGGAAAAAAGGAGAAATCAAATTGTCTGGTCCCCCCTTTCAGCATTGGCCACCTTCTTTTTTGCATTTTATAGGGCATGACACTGACAACATTTCTTTATGTTCTCTGCCACATACACTTTATTAAGCAAGGTGGAGTAACAACAACCGTCCCCAAATCAAACTGAGCAGTCTCTCACCAGCGAACTGATCACTTCCATGTTTGTCCCACAGAAGTACAACAGATCCATGAATTATATTGCAGTATCAGTTTAAGGCAGGAATATATCATTATAGCCTTGACAAACTTTCTGCTTGTGAGCTAACCAAGAAATTTGTTTGGGGGATAGATTTATCCTGTTCCAGGATGTCTCATTAGGTACATGGGTAAGCTGAACCAACACAGGCTGACTCAAAGGCTGGGTGCTTTCCCTTGTTTGTCCTCATTTTTCAGCAGAGAACCCCAGGTATAATTTTATGGTTTTTACTACATGTCTTTAGGGCACTGAAGGAGCAGTACATTTGCTTTTTGAAAGTTACTTTCAAGGAAGAACATTGAAATAAACAGTGTTCCTCCCCCAACCCCCCCGAGTAATTACTGCAGGATAGTTTCATTTCCTGTATTTTGTATTTTCGTAGTGCATTACCTGCAGTGGAGCAGGTACCCTGGGAATCAAGTCAGAAATATGGGATAGCTTCTATACAAGGAATGGTTCAATTAGATGAGGACTGTGTTTCTCAGTTAGAAATGGGTTAAATGTGAACAAATTTGATTGATAGAGCGAATTACATGAAGAGTATGCACAGGGACTTTCTGTTCATCTTCCAACTTGAAGAACTTAGAAGGAGACATCAAATACAGGAATCTGGTTCAGAACACACAGAAGGTGGGGGTTTCCCGAAGTGTGGGTGTAGCTCTATGGGGCTCCTTGCCAAACGATGTTGTGGGTGCAGAACTTCATGTGAGTGTGAGGGGAGATTGAATGAATGTTTGGAAAAGGGCTCAACAGACCTAAACTCTGAGCTCAGAACAGTTGGAAGTTGGGAGAACTCCTAGAGAAAGTATTGTACTGAGGTTCGGTGAAAGTTATAATCAAGCCAATGATTTTATAAAGTTTGAGGTGGGAGTGTGACTTTCCAAATACATCTACAATATATTCTTGCCCAGCTAGAGAATGGCAGTAGTAATGGCAGCTTGACCATCCACCAGCTCATTTCCAGATATTTCACATTCCATATTTCAAACTGCTGATTTTCCTGAGCAAGTTTCTATTTTGACTGTTTTCTTCCCTGTGATTTTCAGTATCAATGAAAGATAATCTTATTTTTCACATTCTTTCAAACATGCTTTCACTGACAGTGAAGGAAGGTGAAGAAAGGTTATCTGACACTGGTGGTGATGGAGTGCTTCACAGGGACATGGAAACCTCTGGACTGACACACATGATTGTTCCTCTAGTTTAGGATTGCAGCCTTTGGCAGTGGTAAATGCACGATGTTTTGAGAGAAAGCATAAGAACTTGACAGTTGTTTGGGGGTTCATTTTCTCTTTCTTGCTACTTCGACATAAGGATCAGAGCTTGAAATACAGTGATACTGGTTTCTCATGAGCTTAGCTTACATTATCTCTTCTAGTCACTGCTGAATTAATCGAGCCTTTATAAAATCTAAGTACCTTATTGCAGTATTGATAAACTGGAAGAGAGGCGATGATGTGCACCTCATTCGGCGTAGCTGCTGTTATTTGGACATTTGTTTCTCTGACAAGACCTTAGTGTTCTCTTAAGTTTGTCCCGAATGACCCAGGTTATCCCAAATCTGTTGTCAACTGTTGCCAGAGTCACAGTTGCTGTTGATTATTTTGGAATTGTTTTTGCAGGGCAAATATATTTTCACTCAGTATTGGTCTGTCTTGAATTGTGCATTTGTTTGACCAAAGCTGGAAGTAAATCTCAAATTCTTTTTTTGACACCTGTCACTTTCCTGGTATTAAAGAAGCTTTTATTCCTATCAATGAATACAGCAACAAACCCAGACAGAGACGTCAGGTCCCTCAGCTGACACCTGACCAGAGACAAAAGGGCGTTCAGTGACAGAAAGTTTGCTTAGGGGGGGAAAGGGAAGAAGCAGAAAACCAAATCATACTAAGAGATATGGGATAATAGGTGCAGATAAAAATACATGCTATGCTGTGCCTTCTGTGTATTGGGACCATTATGCCTGAGGTACTTCACAAGGTACGTACCTCTGTATTTGCAGGATCAGAGAATGGGAAAGCAGCTGTGATTTATTCATGGGGCCAAACTCTGAGCGGAACTTTGTTCAGGGCTTTGAGAACTGGGACCAGTTCATGAATGACTCCATGTTCTCTAAGAACGCTGCCTTTCAGCCTGGTTTCATTTGAGCGATGGGCTGGCGACTTGCTATATATCTCAGGCAAGATCCCTTTGGACTTTAAGTCTGGTATGAATTGTGCCCCTAATGGACAGCCCATTAAGGGTTGGGTTTTTTGGGTTTGCTTGTTGGTTTCACCTGTTTAAATCCCAGCAGTAGTTCAGAGAGTAGTGAGAAATGTCCCACTGCTGAGCAAAAGCCACAGCTTTGCATAGCTGTGCTTAGACCCCTGTAAGGTCTGAGCACAGACCCCTGAAAAGGAAGTGAAATTCTGGGATAATAAGCTCTGGGGTCATGTCATATCTTCTTGGTGTGGGAAATAGTAAGATGCCTTGAAGAAATATGACTCATTCTTATTTGCGTTCAGAAAACTGGGGGAATGTCTAGGTTTCTCTTTAATCAAAGCTTAATGTGAACTTGTTTTCTTTGTCTCCTCCCCACGCATCGCATGCAAAGCAGGATTCTCTGGCCCTTGAAGTTAATATAGTGTATTGTGCATTCTAACAGATGACATTTCATGTGACCTACATGCACAGAGTGCAGCTGGGATGAGTCAGAATTCTGTGGCGGCCACATCTACATTCTTAAATTAATGCATATATTTAAAACGAGGGGAAAGACTGACACTGAAGCATTCATTCAGAAGCAGCAGTAAGATCTGTACCTGCTTCAAAGAGGAACTCATTTCCCTGGAGACACTGATCCTGTGCCTCTTACTCGGAGGCAGTTTCCAGTCATGCAATGATGTCAAAGTCAGGTCACCAGGATCAGGACAGAAAGGATTTCTGGCAATGCCAATCAAGGAATCCTAAACAGGGAGAGTAGTGCTATAAAGGGTGCTATGGCAAGCACAGGAGGCATGGAGGCAGCCAGTGTGAAGTAAAAAGGAGTCACAATTTATTATTTTAATCTGATGCACATTCCTGATTGAACATGACTGAATAGGAGATCTTCTTTGGATTGTTATCTTCTACTTCACAGAGCAAAAAAGGAGCTTTTACTTTCCTGATGAAGAACTGTATATTTTTTCTTAGGGTTGGTGTGAGAGAGGTGACAGAAATGATCCATTGTAGTGAGTCAGCTGAGTTTGGGGGCCTGGTGTAGGCCAGAACTGACAATGTGAGCTTGCCCTAAACCAAACCGAATCAAAACAGTAAGAAGACTGGCCTACTGTAGGCTTCCATGGCTCTCCTTAGAAGAACTATCCCCATTGTAAGTTTAACATGCTTATCAATAGGCAGGGTAGGGTTCCCACAATGTTAACTTTGCTTTACAGCAATGTTTAAATATATTTCCACTATCTGGGCCAAATTCTGATAAGCTCTGTCTTATGCTTGGAGAAACAGAAGAAAAAAGAAGTAAAATGCTAGATACTGGTAGAACTGTGAATTGAGCCTTTATCAACAGCGAAAGCATGCTCCTCACTTGGCCTAGGGAAATAAAGTAATAGGACATATTAATTTTTTGATCAGTAATATGGACTTCTTGAGTTTTCCCAGGAAGTAATCTAAACTGGAAGGATTCCTCAGATAAACACTCCAATAAGCATTTTTACATGTTCACATTTAGTGCAATGGCTATTTTCAGATACCCTTCATAAAATCTTGCCTTGTTATACTTGGTTTCTGTTTCAGTGAAGGAGGGCCAGGGACCTTCCTACACAGCCTGAGCCCACATGAGGTCTCAATGACCTTCTTATGTTACATTCTTCCTTTCTCATGCTGCCTTTTTAAACATTTAGCTACTTGACTGTTCTAAGATGGAGTGCATTCACCAAATCTGGCATAGGGCTTAGGAGTCCTGTATGTTCTGATTATCTTTGTTCACAGCCTTCTGATCAAGCCTGGCTGACAAAGATGGCTGGAAAATCAGGTCCCTCCAAAAGATGCAATCAATGGAATTTCCTTGCTGTAGCAAAGAAAATGCACCCAAGAAGTGCTACAGGCACAGTTGCTTTCAGCCTGATGGCAGTATCATTAAAATCAATAAAAAGACTCATACTGACTTCAGTATGGAAATAATTTCCTACCCTGGAAGTGTCTGCTTGAGTTACACAAGGGAAGCAAGGTCAGGCTTTGTCT